AAAGGACTCCTTGGATACAGGAAACAACATCCCACGAGACCTTGCAAATCGCCTTATGACGTCATTGCCTAGGCGGTCGGGACCGGAACTACAGGCTTGCAGTGGATTAAAAGGTATGTATATTATTAAAAAAAAAAAATTTAAATATCCAACTTGTTCTTTATTTCACAGGGACTACATAATAAGGTAAAGTATTAAAAATGGGTGGAACTTCGCTTTAAAGTCAAATTGCCGGAATCCCTTACAATAGTACCTTTATTTGTATCATGATTTTTTTAAGGGTCTTCAAATTATATGGATTTTTTTTTCTTTTTACAGCAACCAGGTTGCTAGATTTAAAGGATAAATTCACTTAAAAAAATTAAAAAAAACTTTTGCAGGTAAAAAAAAAAAAATATTATTATTATACAGGATTTATATAGCGCCAACAGTTTGCTCAGCGCTTTACAATATAACAGGAGACAGCAACAGTACAGTTCAATACAAGAGGGATAGGAGGGCCTGATCCTTGGAGCTTACAATCTAAGAGATGTGCATTTATTTTTTTTTTTTTTGTAGGAGGCTGAAAAGCATTGCAGATTGCAGGTGCCAGTGTAGCTCGTACATCATACAGGCAAGACAGTATCACACTGACAGGAAGGGCCAATGAGAACTACAAGCAGACAACCACAAAGGCTGTTGGTACTTGTATGATCCCATTCACAGAACTGTGTGAATGAATGACACGGCTGGGCGGGTGGGCCGTGATAGAGCAGGGGAAGATGTGCCTGCCCCCACCCCCCGCTTGCTGTCACAATGGGGGATGCAGGGGCCAGTGCTACAGTAACATGTTAAACCCTGAATATAAGTGTAACATGTAACAAAAGTTGAACTTATCCTTTAAGGCCAGACCATCCAATCCACTTGAGAAAGGTCATGGTAAGGCTAGCAAAGCAATGCATACTGTTCATATGGAACGGATTGCTTTTTCCCCCCTGGCGTTTCATGTTCGGTCCACTGCACACACATGACCATCATGCATACAAATAGATGCATAAGCTTGACATTCCTTTTGTACACCAACACACTAATGTCAATGTCGGTCTGTGAAGATGTAGCAATCAGGGTACCCAGCGTGCTTGCTGTCAGCCCGGCAACAAACATGTTAAGTTGAGCTCATCAGATGTGGTGTTGCTCTTTCCAAACAAAGCATGAGCAGCCAGTTGTTCCCAGGTGGCTTCTTGGCAGCCTATTGCTCATAATGTAACACTTACACAGCAGCAGGCAATCTAGCATTCACCCTGCTGAGTGGCAACCAGCATGGAAAATAATCTGACATTGAAAACGATAATTGTATAATCAAACTGTTATCCCCCGCATTCTCTGCCTAGCCAAGTGCTTTCATTTTGTTCAGCAATTAAAAGTAGGGAGCAAAAAAAAAAAAGGTTTGAATTGTGATTGTCTGCACTTCATTACCTAAGTTCTTGTAGAGGTGGTTACACAATTCAGAGATTAAACACTGCTCGCTACTTCACCTCTATTACAGCTAGCTGAACTTATGTGGAAAAAAACAATGAATCACTGGCAAATAGAAAGCTGGAGCAAAGAGGCAATCTTCTGATATTTTAAATAGTACGTGGAAATGGCTGATTTTCTTTAGGATTAGATATTTAAATGGCTCCGGCTCATATAAATTATTAGCATCATTTTCTCAGCAGGATGACAGCAAGGAAGAACCATTGTAATATAGTCGCACTTGTAATGCCATCTATATTTAGCTTTATGGCGGCATTTTTAAAAGTACAGGCAGGGAGTGAAGTAAACGTTACGGGCAGATTTAAAATGATTATATAATGAATATTTACAAAATCTTCCCACAGTAAAAACGCAGGGAAAATGTATGGTAAATGCAGAGATATAAGCAGCTCAATTTACATGTAAACGTTGACTTTTACTATCTAGACTAGCTTGTCCCCTCCTCCTCACATATATTAAATTCCTACTGAACCACCTCTATGATTGGCTTTCAGAATAGCCAATAAAGGTTTGTGAGGGGTCAGACAAGCTTCGACACTACCAGGAAGTGCCAAAGCTTCATCTGATTATAAGTGCCTGCCATTTGGGCACAGAGACCAGAGCTAAAAAAAATAAATAAATGAAAAAAAAAAATCAAAAAAAGGCAAATCTCTTAACTTTTTAAAGAGGAAAAAACAAAGCAAAACAAAAAAAAACTTTCAATCCTACCAGCATCTTGCATTCTAATAACTTTTTTGTGCTTTGTGCCACTGCTGATTGTTGGATTCCATTTTTCCCAGCTCTCTCTCAGAGCACTAACCTCCATGTTATGGAGAAGAAGAGGGGAAGATGTTCTGTTGTCCCATTCTAGAATAACAACACAGCGCCTCCATGAAATATGGTAAGTTAGTGTTGTGAATAATTTGTAGGTGAGAAAGTGTTCACATATTTCACGAAAGCGAAAGTGATAGAACATTTGTTTGCTTCCACTTTGTGATGAGACACCTAGCTTACAGGTGGGAAGCCTCACTTTCGACATTCGCTGCATGTGCTACTAGTAATATGGAGTCACGCCAGAGCTTACTGGGTTTCAAAGAGGGCAAATTGTTGGTGAACACATAGACTGATAAACATAAGCGCGGTCAAAAGAGACACGAGGACATATTGCAGGATTGTGACCCAGAATAAGAAACAACTGCTGTAAAAGTGACTGCAGAGCTCAAGCTCAGTCTTCAAAAGCCCTTGTCCACAAAAGCTGCTCAGAAGAAGAAGAGAGAGTGGTACAACACCCATAAATCATGGACTACCGACCAATGGAATACTGTAATATGGTCCCATGAATCGAACTTCACACTGTTCCCCACCACTGCATCAGTACTTCTCTCAACAGCCCTCAGCCCTGATGCACACCATAAACACTCTCAAGAGGAGTTATGCAAGCATCAAAATACCTCCATGGATAGATATCAGTTTGGAGGACTGGAAGTTACTAAGTACAGGAGTGGAAGCCGTACAACTGCTCAAGGCTTTAGGAGTCCACTCTTAGATAATCATTGACATTTTCAGTCATGGCTGCCACAATTTTTTTTTTTTAATTGTTTGACGGCACTTTTTATTGAAGTAAGTTAACCTGCATAGCAGAAGGCATGAACTCGGCAAATCTAGTAGGTGTCAGTGCCCATTTTCACTTCATTAACTAGGTCCCAACCACGCTATAGCCGAAGGATGGCTACAGCGCAGTTCTCTAGTTCTGGGACGACGTTCATGGATGTCGTTCCAGAACACACCCCCAGTGGCACACACTTGGCCCCGCAGGTGATCGCTGTGTCCTACGGACACAGCCGATCACGTGATACGGTAAACGGCCAACCACGGTGGCCTTTTACCACGTCATCAGCTATGTCCAATGACACAGCAGATCACTGGTAAATACAGTTGCTGGTTATCTGCTGCACTTTCCTCACGCTGTCACAGTGTGAGGAAATTACTGCAGAGAATCGGCAACTGTCAGCGAAGAGATCAGCACTGATGATCAGTGCCCTGATGATCAGTGCCCAGCAGTGTCGCCCACTTGTGCCACCTATCAGTGCCCGCCATCATCACACACATCAGCAAAGGATAGAAATTACCTGTTTGCAAAATTTTATAATAGAAATGAAAGAAAAACTTTTTTTTTTTTTTCACATTTTTTGCTCTTTTTGTTTATAGCGCAAAAAATAAAACATCCAGCGGCAAGTAAATACCACCAAAAAAAGCTCTACTTGTGTGAAAAAAATTATAAAAATTTCATATGGGGACAGTATTACGTGACCACGCAATTGTCATTCAAAGTGCGACAGCGCTGAAAGCTGAAAATTGGCCTGGGCAGGAAGGGGGTAAATGTGCCCGGTAGGCAAGTGGTTAAAATACTTTTCTGGCATAAAAGCACACCAACTTCAGTCTAAGAACTGTTTTAGGGTTTGAGCCCATTACCAGAGGTAATATAAGCTATTGCCAAGTTGGTATTTTACTCGCAAAAAGATTGAAAAAAAATGTGCAATTTGTGAACTTCAAAGTCCTTGGGTAAACCAATGCACTGACAAATAAACTAAGGGTATGTAAGAGAACATCATTTGTCCCCATCAGCGCTCCCCCAGGGCAGGGAAAAGTTCCCCCCCCCCCCTTCCTAAAATAAACACTTTTCTAGCATGCTTCTTTATTACAAAGATGGAGCTACAGACTGCTCAAGGTTATACTGCGGTTAGGTAGGCATTCTAGATACAAATTTTAAGGATGCAGTCAGATCTTTGCATTGCAGCAATGCATGGTAATGTACGACAGTTCTTTTACCTGAACACACCTAGGCAGTACACCACAACACACATGCAATTTAGCACACAGACATGCACAACTGTGAATGGTCTTACACAGTTTATAAGGTTGGAAAACAAAAATATAAAAAAACAGGTCCAGGATCCAGTCTATATGTCCAATCCACGTGTGTAAATGTGAATTGATCTCTAACAATACCCATAACATTGTGGTGCACGATGTAAATGTGCATTAATGCAACACTATCAGCAAAAATGGGCCACGAAAGTTATATTCAGATATTTAAAGCAGAATTTTTTTTTTAGATTTAATTTTTAAAATCATCTGCTCCATAAAATAGTTTTGTCTCAGCTGGGGAGATTAAACCCATTTTTCTCCTGGTGACCATTGTCAGTGGGACAGTTATAGAAAAGCTAACAACTGTTACAGTTGTTACTGGAACAGCAGCAGGGGTAAAATCTTCTATGGTGTACATTTTATCAGCAATATCCCCCCTACAAACGTGACATTTCTCAACAGGCCCACTTCTGTCTTATGGAGATCTAGACAGATAACCACTTAAATAAATGCTACATGAAAATGTTTTCTAATAAACCTTACAATAATTGGTATGTGCTATCCATGTTTTCTATCCTGTCAAATAAATTACGTAGATTCTTCCTAACAAAAAGGGAAGTAAAATATGGTAATGTTACCTTGTCATACAAATTGCCAGAACTCTTCCCATCCTCATCACTGCTGTCTTCTATTGGTGGGTTCTCCCTTTTCATGTCATCTCCCAGATAATGCTCAAAGACATTGGAGAAAGCAATAGCAGACAGCATGCAGCAGACCACAGGAGTCAATGTCAACATCAAACGAACCATCACGCCGGCAAAATAAACAGCACTGATTGCATAAAGGGCAACTGTGAAGAGAAATGTGAGCGCTTTTAGTCATTCTGTCAATTAGAAAAATCAGACACACTAAATGTGATTTACTTATGGTTTATAACACCTAATGAATTAGAAGTACATAATCATTGTAGAACAAACACAACATAAATCTTAGATATATACAATACTACAGCTTAGAGAGGATGATCTGCTAACTAAAGCCAATAACTGCTGATTGTCAGAGGAGCAGTTCAAATAATTTGCTCTGGCATGTCAGGCAAAGCAGACATTGATGTGAACAAGCCAAATTCCTAAATGGATGCAAAAGAAAAGCCATAAAATCGTACTGTTCCTTGCTGAATATGAGTGCCCTACACTGTAATGGCTTAGAATAAAAAGCAATATATGTTGCAAGCTTCCAGAAAACAATGTGTGAAGGTGTTGTGTGTGCATTGCCTGGAAGCACGCAGGTAATACCAAATGTTGGACTCCCTACAGGAAGGCATTTCCAAAGGTGTGTGTATTGCCCAAAGCATGCAGGTAATACCAAATGTTGGACTGCTTACAGGAAGGCATTTCTAAAGGTGTGTGCATTGCCCAAAGCATGCAGGTAATACCAAATATTGGACTGCTTACAGGAAGGCATTTCCAAAGGTGTGTTTATTGCTCCAAAGCATGCAGCCAATACCAAATATTGGACTGCTTACAGGAAGGCATTTCCAAAAGGTGTGTGTATTGCCCCAAAGCATGCAGGTAATACCAAATGTTGGACTCCCTACAGGAAGGCATTTCCAAAGGTGTGTGCATTGCCCCAAAGCATGCAGGTAATACCAAATGTTGGACTCCCTACAGGAAGGCATTTCCAAAGGTGTGTGTATTGCCCCAAAGCATGCAGGTAATACCAAATATTGGACTGCTTACAGGAAGGCATTTCCAAAGGTGTGTGCATTGCCCAAAGCATGCAGGTAATACCAAATGTTGGACTCCCTACAGGAAGGCATTTCCAAAGGTGTGTGCATTGCCCCAAAGCATGCAGGTAATACCAAATGTTGGACTGCTTACAGGAAGGCATTTCCAAAGGTGTGTGCATTGCCCAAAGCATGCAGGTAATACCAAATGTTGGACTCCCTACAGGAAGGCATTTCCAAAGGTGTGTGCATTGCCCAAAGCATGCAGGTAATACCAAATGTTGGACTCCCTACAGGAAGGCATTTTCAAAGGTGTGTGCATTGCCCCAAAGCATGCAGGTAATACCAAATGTTGGACTCCCTACAGGAAGGCATTTCCAAAGGTGTGTGTATTGCCCCAAAGCATGCAGGTAATACCAAATATTGGACTGCTTACAGGAAGGCATTTCCAAAGGTGTGTGCATTGCCCAAAGCATGCAGGTAATACCAAATGTTGGACTCCCTACAGGAAGGCATTTCCAAAGGTGTGTGCATTGCCCCAAAGCATGCAGGTAATACCAAATGTTGGACTCCCTACAGGAAGGCATTTCCAAAGGTGTGTGTATTGCCCCAAAGCATGCAGGTAATACCAAATATTGGACTGCTTACAGGAAGGCATTTCCAAAGGTGTGTGCATTGCCCAAAGCATGCAGGTAATACCAAATGTTGGACTCCCTACAGGAAGGCATTTCCAAAGGTGTGTGCATTGCCCCAAAGCATGCAGGTAATACCAAATGTTGGACTCCCTACAGGAAGGCATTTTCAAAGGTGTGTGCATTGCCCCAAAGCATGCAGGTAATACCAAATGTTGGACTCCCTACAGGAAGGCATTTCCAAAGGTGTGTGTATTGCCCCAAGCATGCAGGTAATACCAAATATTGGACTGCTTACAGGAAGGCATTTCCAAAGGTGTGTTTATTGCCCCAAAGCATGCAGCCAATACCAAATATTGGACTGATTACAGGAAGGCATTTCCAAAAGGTGTGTGTATTGCCCCAAAGCATGCAGGTAATACCAAATATTGGACTGCTTACAGGAAGGCATTTCCAAAAGGTGTGTGTATTGCCCCAAGCATGCAGGTAATACCAAATGTTGGACTCCCTACAGGAAGGCATTTCCAAAGGTGTGTGTATTGCCCCAAGCATGCAGGTAATACCAAATATTGGACTGCTTACAGGAAGGCATTTCTAAAGGTGTGTGCATTGCCCAAAGCATGCAGGTAATACCAAATATTGGACTGCTTACAGGAAGGCATTTCCAAAAGGTGTGTGTATTGCCCCAAAGCATGCAGGTAATACCAAATGTTGGACTCCCTACAGGAAGGCATTTCCAAAGGTGTGTGTATTGCCCCAAAGCATGCAGGTAATACCAAATATTGGACTGCTTACAGGAAGGCATTTCCAAAGGTGTGTGCATTGCCCAAAGCATGCAGGTAATACCAAATGTTGGACTGCTTACAGGAAGGCATTTCCAAAGGTGTGTGCATTGCCCAAAGCATGCAGGTAATACCAAATGTTGGACTCCCTACAGCAGCGGTTCTCAACCTGGGGGTCGAACGACCATTTCCCAGGGGTCGCCTAAGACCATCGGAAAACACATATTTCCGATGGTCTTAGGAACCGAGACACCGCTGCAGTCTCCGGCGATGTGTGGGCGGGATGATACGCTGCTGTCACCTGGCCACACCTCCGGGATCGCTCAGCAGCTCCGCCTCCTCGCCGCTGATTGGCCACCGGAACTGTAGCTCAGGAGAGGCACACAGGCGGCCAATCACCGGCGAGGAGGTGGAGCTTGGAGAGGAGGAGCCGAGCGGCAGCGCGCGTACATCAAAGAAGACCGAGAGAGCTGCCGGAGCGAGTGAAGAGGAGAGCGGCCAGAGAAGGAAGACAGCTGACAGGTAAGTGAGAGAGCGAGCCCAGGCTGGAGCAGGGGTCAGCAAGGTAAGTATCATTGTGTCAGTGGGAGGAATAGTGCCCCATCATTTGTGTCACTAATACCAATGATGGGGCACTATTCCTCCCCCCACTGACACCAACGATGGGGCACTATTCCTCCCCCCACTGACACCAACGATGGGGCACTATTCCTCCCCCCACTGACACCAACGATGGGGCACTATTCCTCCCCCCACTGACACCAACGATGTGGCACTATTCCTCCCCCCACTGACACCAACGATGTGGCACTATTCCCTCCCCCCACTGACACCAACGATGGGGCACTATTCCTCCCCCCACTGACACCAACGATGGGGCACTATTCCTCCCCCCACTGACACCAACGATGGGGCACTATTCCTCCCCCCACTGACACCAACGATGGGGCACTATTCCTCCCCCCACTGACACCAACGATGGGGCACTATTTCCCCCCCCCCCCGACCCCAACGATGGGGCACTATTCTCCCCTCCACCACACTGACATCAATGATGGGGCACTATTCCTCCCACTGACACCAATGATGGGGCACTATTCCTCCCACTGACACCAGTGATGGGGCACTACTCCTCCCACTGACACCAGTGATGGGGCACTACTCCTCCCACTGACACCAGTGATGGGGCACTACTCCTCCCACTGACACCAGTGATGGGGCACTACTACTCCCACTGACACCAGTGATGGGGCACTACTCCCCCCCACTGACACCAGTGATGGGGCACTACTCCCCCCACTGACACCAGTGATGGGGCACTACTCCCCCCACTGACACCAGTGATGGGGCACTACTCCCCCCACTGACACCAGTGATGGGGCACTACTCCCCCCACTGACACCAGTGATGGGGCACTACTCCCCCCCACTGACACCAGTGATGGGGCACTACTCCCCCCACTGACACCAATGATGGGGCACTACTCCCCCCACTGACACCAATGATGGGGCACTACTCCCCCCACTGACACCAATGATGGGGCACTACTCCCCCCCACTGACACCAATGATGTGGCACTATTCCTCCCACTGACACCAGTGATGGGGCACTATTCCTCCCACTGACTCCAACGATGGGGCACTATTCCTCCCACTGACACCAACGATGGGGCACTATTCCTCCCACTGACACCAACGATGGGGCACTATTCCTCCCACTGACACCAACGATGGGGCACTATTCCTCCCACTGACACCAACGATGGGGCACTATTCCTCCCACTGACACCAACGATGGGGCACTATTCCTCCCACTGACACCAACGATGGGGCACTATTCCTCCCACTGACACCAACGATGGGGCACTATTCCTCCCACTGACACCAACGATGGGGCACTATTCCTCCCACTGACACCAACGATGGGGCACTATTCCTCCCACTGACACCAACGATGGGGCACTATTCCTCCCACTGACACCAGTGATGGGGCACTATTCCTCCACTGACACCAGTGATGGGGCACTATTCCTCCCACTGACACCAGTGATGGGGCACTATTCATCCCACTGACATCAGTGATGGGGCACTATTCCTCCCACTGATACCAACGATGGGGCACTATGCATCCCACTGACATCAGTGATGGGGCACTATTCCTCCCACTGACACCAGTGATGGGGCACTATTCATCCCACTGACATCAGTGATGGGGCACTATTCCTCCCACTGACACCAATGATGGGGCACTATTCCTCCCACTGATACCAACGATGGGGCACTATTCCTCCCACTGATACCAACAATGGGCCACTATTCATCCCACTGACATCAGTGATGGGGCACTACTCCTTCCACTGACACCAATGACATGGCACTACTCCTCCCACTGCAAAATTACAGTTATGAAGTAGCAATGAAAATAATTTTATGGTTGGGGGTCACCACAACATGAGGAACTGTATTAAGGGGTCGCGGCATTAGAAAGGTTGAGAACCACTGCCCTACAGGAAGGCATTTCCAAAGGTGTGTGCATTGCCCCAAAGCATGCAGGTAATACCAAATGTTGGACTCCCTACAGGAAGGCATTTCCAAAGGTGTGTGTATTGCCCCAAGCATGCAGGTAATACCAAATATTGGACTGCTTACAGGAAGGCATTTCTAAAGGTGTGTGCATTGCCCAAAGCATGCAGGTAATACCAAATATTGGACTCCCTACAGGAAGGCATTTCCAAAGGTGTGTGTATTGCCCCAAAGCATGCAGCCAATACCAAATATTGGACTGCTTACAGGAAGGCATTTCCAAAAGGTGTGTGTATTGCCCCAAGCATGCAGGTAATACCAAATGTTGGACTCCCTACAGGAAGGCATTTCCAAAGGTGTGTGTATTGCCTCAAAGCATGCAGGTAATACCATATGTTAGACTCCCTACAGGAAGGCATTTCCAAAAGGTGTGTGCATTGCCCCAAAGCATGCAGGTAATACCAAATATTGGACTGCTTACAGGAAGGCATTTCCAAAAGGTGTGTGTATTGCCCTGAAGCATGCAGCTAATATTGGACTGCATTTGCAAATTTTATATATCCAGCAACACTGATATGTTTACAAAAAGGAACTTTCAAAGCTCATATAGCCAAAAGTGTAAAAATGCACAACATGGTGTATTGCGTACTAAACATACATTATGGGGACAATGCAAATAACTTTTTGTGTATGGTATGTATACTGGAATTTACACAGCTACAAGGCTATACTGGTAATGGTGATCAGCGACTTATAGTGGAACTGTGACTGTGAATCTGGCTCTAGCTGAGAGGAACATTACCAGTGACACCAATACAGTGAACAGTGCTAATACAGACAAATGACACTAGCTGGGAAGGGGCTAACATCTAGGAGGCAATCAAAGGGTTAACTGTGTGCCTGTGTAATGTGTGCTGCTTTTACTTTACTGTATTGCAGTTTATTCTCCCTGCTTTGCAGGAAGAATAAGCAGTCTGATCGCTGTTCCTTGTACACAGCTGACTTCAGCCAAAATAATTGGTTGAAATCAGCAGCCAAACCTGTGCTGTGTCCAATCGAATGCACGTGCCCCTAACCCAGAAGAAGGATCACAGCGTACAGATACATCACCTGGCCTGGAGCTGCAGCTCCAGTACAACTACTGTTGGTGGATGCAAAGCCATTAAGGAATCTACATGAAGCAGTTATGCAGCCAAAATATCACTTCTGAATTATTTTAATAAAGGGGGATTCAATGGAGAAGGAATTTTTTTGCCTATCCTTCCGATCCTTGTTTGGTTTAGGAATTTAACCGGAAAAAAGCTCCTAGGTCCCTACGTCACTGTGCATTTCAATACATCGGGAAATGTTTTACTGTCCCCTTCTCTGGGCCAAATGAAAGTTGAAGCTGTCTAAATATGCAGATGAAAAAGATACCACATTCTCTGTTACACACTGTAGAAAGGACACAATGGTTTTCTTTCCACCCCAGGCTAGTGGTTGGACAATGAAAGAGCAGCAGCACACTAATAAGCTCGTTACTCACTCTGCCACTTTTACCTAAAAGAAAGTTCCTTGTAAGCACATTTGCAAAGCGCACACATGACTATCTCCCAGTGCTACTGTGAGGAAAGATTGGAATCTCTGTTAGAAATTGGCTGCAATGTTCCCGCTGAGATTGCTAGGTCAAAAATGAGGGGAAACCTTGGTGGTGACAAATGTGGCAATAACAATCTGACCGAGGGTCTGACCTTTTCCTTTACATAGTAATTTTATTGCTGCCTGCAGCTCCACTGTAGAGTGTCTGCTCCCTTCTTGTGTCAAAGATCCCACAAGAAATGAGTGCAAATAATGGTAAAATGGATACAGAGTAATAAAAACTTAAAGAGATGCAAACTTTTCTCCTCCCCCATCCATAAAATATTTTGGCTGAAGTACTATATCTATATATATATATCTATATATACACATATACACACACAAATTACATTATATTTGCAATGTTTCAAAGATCTACAGTAGATACAGAAGTTGGGGGGCTTCACTACTTCTTGCTGAGTGATTACTACTCTCTCTCAGTGTAATTATCAGTCTAGTCAGGAGTACTGCAAACAATAGCCATTGTGTGGCCAATAGATTTTCTGTCTCAGCACTAAAAAAAAAAATGTGCATTTATTTATTTTTTACTAGGGGCCTGGAAAGCATTGCACCCGCAATCAGAAGCTTGCTGGTTGCATGCAGGACTCCTGCAGGATTGTCAGTGTATCGGTTTGCTCAGACATCGTATGGGCAGGCAGTTACACACTGGCAGGAAGGGACAATGAACTACATAGAGCACTCAAAAAGAAACCTGGTAGTTAATTGAGAACTACAAGACAACAGCCACAAAGGTTGTTGGTACTTGTAGTTTTCCAATCACAGATATCTGTGAATGAATGATGTGGCCATGCAGGCGGAGAAGGTCCCCCGCCTTCTTTCACGAGATACAGCGGATCGAGGAGATGCTGCTGGAGTGGGAACATGTCACATGTTCCACCCTAAAAGCAGGTTGGAACATGTATCATGCTCCCAAAGGTGAACGTATCCTTTAAGCTGGCCATTGACTGAAATGTAGCCAGTTCAGCAGGAATCGGGTGAATTTAAACCTGTGTGGCTGTCCCTGCTCAACAGAAGTGGATTGGTTGATTGACTTCTGTCAAAGGAGGATGTAGGAAAACTTGTTGATCAGGAGCTGCAGCCACTGATCAATGACAGCGGTGCCCAAGGATGTAGGATGCTGACTGAACGTAAAAAACAAAACTACCCGTATAGAACTAGATTAACAGTAGGATTGCCAACAGACGACCACTAGAAGGAGAAATTTGTAAACTGGATGAATTACCAAGTTAAAAATATGAAGACAAACACGTAAAATTACAAACTCAAAGTGTTACTAAACCGAGGACCCAGCATTTACTAATATATATATATATATATATATATATATATATATATATATATATATATATATATATATATATATATATATCCCCCACAGTACATAGAACATGGAAATGCAATTATTGTAGTAAATATAAAGTGCTAAACACCTTTTTTCATCAGCAGTATATAGAAGTCTTGTGACTTCTATCAGTGTCCAGCAGAGTACTGGTTAAAGCTTGCAGGAGTTTTCATTCTCCCCTGGTTGTCCGCTGAGGCTGCAGGACCCCTGTCCCTCTGTCTGGACAGTTCTGATTGGTCCTGTGCTGATCACATGCACCCTCACAAAAAAAAAAAAAAAAAAAAAACCTCTCTAGCAATACACACTAAGTTGAGCATGCACAGCTTGTCCTGTACCATTAGCAGATTGATTGGGGACAGTAGGAGAAGGGTAGGATCAGAGAAGACAGGTTCAAACAGCCTTTTTACACAAAATGGATTAACCCCTTAGGTTCCACAGTGAGTAGAACGAGCATGCTTTACAGCATACACAGACTGATTTTACTTTTGTGGCTTTAGGGACACTGTAATTGCTGTTAAAGGTACAGCAGTGACTCAAACATGTACTAAAATGACCTATTGTTTATCTTTTAAAGCAGGAAACAATTGAGTTAAATATCCCACAGGAATGCTACCAGCCATTCTGGCAATGCCAGTGACGGCCAGCTTCTCGCTCATCTTAAGAACCATAATCCACCTAATGAAATGTACTCTAGAACATATGGTGTTCTCACATAGACTTCCAAGTAACAGTGTACTGGAACTGGAGGTTTTCCCGACTGAACCATGACCCATTCTCTCCACACAAGTAGCAAAGCATGGCCAGAATAAGCAGCTCTAATTATTTTGCCTTTACTAACACACATTACACCACAATATGACAAAGCAAAAATATAATACAAAAATAGCAACATTTAAAGCATGCAGATGAAATTTAATTGCTGACTGTTCTTACCAAAAACTCGCTCATCGTTGATATTTTTTATGCAGAACCACAGCCCTGCTGGAAATGTACAGACTAATATGTGAAGGTCAAAGAAGAAAGAAACCCACGTTGTCGGCTGGTGTTCTGATACTGAAGCAATAATCGGGATATGAATTTTTGCGTACCTGGCACAAAAAAAGGAGAGGAAAACACAGTCACTAAAGGGATCATATTTAATGAAAATTTAGAAAAATTGGGCTGGGTAGTCAGGTGATCCCCACAGCCATCTATGGGACCTGAGCACCTAATTTGAAATAGTAAACAAAGTCCAAATGTGTTACAGTGGATTTCCAGCTGAAATAAAAAAAAAAATAAAAGTCAGCAGCTACAAAAACTGTAGCTGCTGACTTTTAAAATACAGACACTTACCTGTCCCTTAGTCTAGTGGTGTCATCACCACCGCTGGTTTAATCGGCCGCCTTCTCTCCCTGGTGCTGGCATCTTTACTGTGGGCAACCAGCTGTGACAGCTTGCCGCTTCACAGCTGGGTGCCCACTGCGCATGTGCGAGAAGCGCTGTGCTCTGAATGGCTCTGTAGTCTTCTGGGACCTGTCATGTGTCCCAGAAGACTACAGGGAGGGGGGTCTCGGATGACAACTTCCCCTTCCGATCGCCTAGGAGCAGGTACATGTCAAATTTGGGTATGCACTCCCCCCCCAGATGCCAATCCTTAATGGGGAGCGGGCGACAACGCATAAAAGCTGAACTTCCCCTTTTGGGTGGAGCTCTGCTTCAAGCAGTGATTGTGATGCCATAGATAGCAACACAATCAGCATATCTTGCCAAGTACACCATGGAAGTCCAATTTACATGATATCCTTACTTCTACTGATAGAAACTTTGCATAGGTCTTTAGAGGGGAGTCCAATCTCCTGCACACAAAATATATGAGATATTTCAGGATTATCTATGTAAAAGTAGGGTACATAACCTCATTGAAGAAAAAAAAAAAAAAAAAAAAATCAGACAGGAGATACACTGCCATTCTGAATTGCTCCAAGGATGATACTCAGCTATGAGAATATAGACCATAACATCTTATAGATTGCTATGGGCAGTGGATTTATTCATTATACTACAAGCAAAAAGTTGTGAAAGTGTTAAAAAACAAAAAAAAAAAAAACACACCACAAAAAACAAACTGGATATATTTTATATACTGTACATTATATTTGAAAAAGCCACTAAGTAAAAATAATAAATACTGTAATCAACCAAAGTTTTCTCAGATTCCAAAGAAGAAAAAACTCCCAAAACTGAAAGTGTGATAGCAGCACAAAGTATATTGCAATTAAATCTCAAAAAGTAGCAATTTAACTGTCAATTTATTGTTTGGATTACTTTGCGAAAAAGCCGCTGTTCAGAGCCAATGGATGAAGTCAGTGAACCCGATGTTAAATGATGACCTTTTAGTTACAGACTAAAGCGTTAAACCGATGGCAATTTCACAGGGATCTTGGGTATAAAGGCAGCTTTTATTGCTATTCTATGCCAAAACATTTCAGAAAACACCTGCCAAGTGCTTAGATACCAATTGCTTCTAACAAGGGATGTGCCTTGCAATTTTACAGGTCAGTTTTCTGCCCAGATGCCTGATCCTCCCCGGCTGTTGAGTTGGCCGGATTTTCCTTTCCAGAGAGCTCAGAAATGCCAGCCAGCTGCGGTCATGTAAAAACAATTATATGTAATACATGTAGACCAGTGAAAGACTAGTACATTACTGGCATCTCCTTTACATGAAACCAAATAGTCATTTGACTAGTGTTGCTGTTTAAGGTGCTAAAAGTCTTCTACCAGTATGTAATACCTAGGTCTTCAAGGGACTGGATTCTTCATGTAAATAAGAGGTTTTCAGTAAAATGAGAAAAGCCATTTTTAAGGTTCATGTGTCAGGAACAGTGAAGATATTGATCGCTTATGCAGGCCATAGATGGGTCGAAAATCAGCCGATTTTCGAATCGTTAGTGGGTTAATAAGTCAGCCATTTTTCGGTATTTTGGCAGATTTTTTTTATCGGTAAAGTTTGAAAAAAAATCGTCCGATTTTGCCGATTGGCTGTTTTTGTGGCAATGATGGGCAAATCGGCCGATCTTTTTACCGATAAAAAATCTGCGCATGAGCAGTGACCTGCAAGAGGAAGACAAAAAGAAGAGGAAGAAGAAGAAGAAGAGGATGAAGAAGAAGAAGAGAAGAAGAAGAAGAGAAGAGGATGAAGAAGAAGAAGAGGATGAAGAAGAAGAGGATAAGAGGAAGAAGAAGAAGAAGAAGAGGATGAAGAAGAAGAAGAGGATGAAGAAGAAGAAGATGAAGAATTCCAGTCTGGCAAAAAGTGTCCCTGCAGAGAGCGCCGCTATTTCTTTGACATTTATAGCGGCTGCAACAATGTATCTCTTTGTTTCCAAATAAAAAAATCTGTATCCGAAATGGATACAAATAGATACAATGTTGCAGCCGCTATAAACGTCGAACTGTCAAAGAAATAGCGGAGCTCTCTGCAAAGACACTTTTTGCCAGCTGTAGACGGGATGAAAATCGGCTGATTTTTTACCGTTCCTGGTAACGTCGGCCGATTGAACAACCGATTTTGCGTTTTTTTTTTTAAGAAAAATCGACCGGTTTTTCTCCCATCTATGGCCTGATTACACCTGCACAGCACCCTGACTTTAAAACTTTAATATCACCTGCAGGATGATCCGGCATAACGATCAAGGTGTATGCAATCTGAAGCCAATGACAAGAAACTTGCTATGCAGCTGTTTTTGCATCACTTCATAAAAGGACATGTATAAAAAAAAAGTAGCTGTAAGGCTGGCCATACATCATACAATTTTCTTGAGAATTTTGCTTTAGATTTACCAAATACCATATAATATGAGGTCAAACCTAAACAACACTTTTAGTTGTATCCAATTAGGCGGGCCCTTGTGCTACATAGTTAAAGGTAAGTCTAAAGGGAATTGGGTAGAGAATTGTATTGTGTATGGCCAGCCTAAGGCTGGATTTACAAAATCCATATAATATGAGGTCAAACTCAATCCCTTGACGCCGATGTAACACAAATATGCGGCCTCGCAGAACTGGGCTTTTTTCCCGTGAGGCAACACATTTGCGAACCTGTCTTTCTGCACAAAGACCGCGGTGTCACTGAGAGCCCCAGGTCCCGTTCTAACGATTGGGACCCGGGACTCCGGGTCACATGATCGCTGGGATAGCCTCTGATTGGCCATCACAGTGATCAGTCACTGTACAGCCCGGCCCCCTTGTTTTTTTTTTTCTCTATGAATGGAGAAGAGAGATGCATTGTATCTCTCTAACTCCTGGCATAGAGGGGAAAAAAAGTTTGTAAAAAAATTTAAAAATAAAGAAATGATTAAAAAAGAAAAAAATGCCTAGATCAAGGTTTGATCTAGTTCAGTGCCAGGGTAAATGTTTGGGTCAAGGTCAGAGCCAAAAATCAAGGTCAAAAGATCAGGGTCAAAGGTCAGGATTTAAACACAAATTTGGTGTCAGTGTGTTTTAGGTAAAAGAAAGACAAAAACAAAATGCGCACTATTATTTCTGGGCTGTACTATGGGTACAAACAACAAATAACATACACATATATGGTATCGCTGCACTCATCAAGAGCTGGAGAATTTATTTTGGGTTGTTCTTTGGTGGTAGGTTATGGTAGCAACAAGAAACACAGCTAAATTAAAAAAAAAAAGTTTTCCTTTAATAAAAAAAAAAAAAAAAAAAAAAAGAAAAAGAATCTGGAGATATCCATTACCATTTACCACCAAATGAAAGCCCAATTTGTCCTGAAAAAAAACAAGGTATAATTCACCTGGATGTACAAAGTAGTTGTGATGATATGTACGGTTTTATTAACACGTCAACGTTGCAAAATTGTGCTGAGGCATTTAGATTTGTTTTACCCTTAGGCATGAAGGGGTTAAACAATGCTTTCAATTGTATCCAATTAGGCAGGCCCTTGCAATACATAGTTGAAGGTAAATCTAAAGGAAATTGGGAGGACAGAAAACAGTATAGCGTATGGCCAGCCTAAGATTATGGTAGACGTATATTAAAGCGAAACTAAATTCTCTCAATCAACATCAATCCCTCTGCTACGAACATTAGTAAATAAGCAGGAAGCTATATTACATGAACTTGTTTTAACTTTTTTTTAATTAAATATTTCTTCAGTTTTCTTGTTTATGGCCTAGGCCAAAATGATATACATCCCAGGAATCTTCAGGAGGAGTTTTCTCAGCTAAGCACATCCTCCTGCCAGCATGTCTGCTCTAAAGGCAGATGGATTCCAGGAAGTAAATGCTACACGAATCATCTGCCCTTGCTTAAGATGCCCACAGCTAGAAATGCTAGGGGGAGTTTTTCAATGTGAGCTTTCAAAAAATAAAGCATGTAGACATGGATGGGTAGGTGGGATTGCTTTGAATACTAAAAATGAATTAAATCGCCTTTTCAGTTTGTGTTGCTCAGATACAGTTTAGTTTCACTTTAAGATTGTTTTGTTTTAATCTAGCAATGCCTAAAACATTTATTGCACCATAAAAATGGGTTAATGTGCAGTGCACAAGTGTCCGAATCACTTGCTCTATTACACCTTTAGTTTCAAGAGAATCTTTGCTGTGAAAACTATAAAAGGGCAAACAGGATTTTTATTGCAGAAGAGAAATGCTTTAACTCTTCTGCATTAAAAAGGTCCCTACCTACCTGCAGGTCCGCAGCTGCACAGTGAGCTGCACAATCGAGAAGCTGATCGACCTCCCGCGCACGTGACGGAGGGATATCATAAGGGCCGGAAGCCCATACCTGGAAGCCGTCTTATCAAATGTGTCAGTGGACGGCGGGCAGCTCCAGGACGCCGCATCGCTGAAACCAAGGTTGAGTATAGTTTCTGTTTAATGGCCAACTCCATGCTTTAGTGAACTTTAACCATTTCCTGCTGCCTCTAAACATATATGCGGCTTCACTGAAGTGGGTCTTCTTTCATGAAGCTACATACATGGGTGTATTTGTTTGTGCTGTTAGTGCGCTGCACAGTGCACTCCCAGCACAGAGACCAGGGTCTCCAACTAACAATCTGGAACCAGGAGATGTGGTTCCTGAACGTCTGATCGTTGTGATCAGTCATTGTACAACCTGCACGTGTTTTCTTCCCCCCCCCCCCCCCCTTCTCTGGAGAGAGATACATTGCATCTTTTTCTCCTTTCCAGAAAAGAAAAATGAAAACAAAAGACTACAAAAAAAAAAAATTGAGATAAATAGCTAGATCAGGGTTACACCTAGATCAGAGTAAGGGTCACAGGCAAAGGTCAAGGTCAGAGGTTGGGGTCAAAGATCAGGGTCAGTTTATTTTAGGTAGGATTAAAAAAAAGTAAAACGTGCACTATTTTTTTCTGGGCCCTACTAGGAGTACAGATAACAAACAATATACACGTGTGGTATCGCTGCAATTGTCAGGAGCAAGAGAGTTTATTTTGGGTTGTTCTTTGGTGGTAGGTAATGGCAATAGACAAGAAATTTACAGTATATAGTTTAAAAAAATTTTTTTGTAGTTTTTATTTCCCAATTATTTTGGGCTAATTTACATTTGATATGCTAAAACAAAAACAAACACAAAAAAAAAATCAGGAGTTACCCATTACCATTTACTGCCAAATGAGAGCCTAATTTGTCCTGAAAAAAAAGAAAAGGTGCAATCCGCCTGGATACACGAAGGATTTGTTTTACTCTTGTCATGAAGGGACTAATAACTTGCTTGGACCTAGCTGGTCCAAACAAACCATTTCCTTCAGTAACACATGCAGCAGTTGTTAGCACTGCATGTAGCCTCAGTAGAGATAATCTCATCCACAGGCATATTTGGAAACTTGTATTTCTCTCACCAAAGTATGAAGAAAAGCTACTTTCTGTTATCCTTCGAATGCCAGCTCATATCTTAAGCTCTCACTAATTATGGTAACATGCCAATCAAATTAAAGAGACAAGCCTCAGTGGGGAAAACTAGGGATTCAGAGACCAGGTTCACCCAATCCTGGCAGCACTGCCTTTTCAGGACTGCAAGCGCGTGCTTACAAGATTGGTCACCCTTCTCACTGACTGGAGGCAAAGTAGACTGGTCTTCATAAATGGAAATCAATTTACAGAAGCAATGAATTGTTCAATTTTCCAACAGGACTGTTAGACACTGCTGCTATGAAGGAAGAAAGCAGATTTGAATCCCAGAAAGGAGATTTGAATTAATATTTAATATAAATACTAAATTGATTTGGCTGGTGTTTAGCTTTAAAGGTTCAGGATTTCCTGCTGGGATCCTAGACAGCTAGGAAGCAGAAAACACAACGGCCTTCATCAAATCTGCTCAATTGAATAAGCATTGAATAATAGAAAAAGCATGTTCAAAAAGGAACCCTAAATCACCATAATATTTAACCTTGAAAGAGCAAAACAGTCATCCTGGAAATGCCAGACATGTTAGAATATGCATTCTGTAATGCCTAATTACAAATATATTACATAATACATTAATAATTTAAAATTTGGGAAATTAATACTTGGACAAACTGATCCCATCAAATATATATGGTAATGCCAGGCTTTATTACTATTCAAATAAAGAATTTATGCATAAATTCCAAAATCAGAAAATTAAATTTTACAATCCATAATAACAAAACTTACCCTGTGTCCCAAAGGGAATAAAACCTTCCACTCCAAGGAGCAATGTACCCTGTAATGTAATAAAAAAAGAGTATTTGTTTTAGGAATAGTGTATACAAAGGCTAATTCTGAATGTTATCACTGCTGCTATAAATGTATGTTCATGACTGCTGTATGAATTGCCGTACATCGTAGTTTCAAGTCCTCATTTTGCAGAGCACCTGAGATAAAAAAAAAAAAAACAAAAAAAAAACTACCAAGAAAAAAAAAAAAGCAAATCCAGTTTACATCTGGATTTTGCATCTGATTAAAAGATCTGCATTTCTTCTAGGTCTAGTGTTTCAGAGATGTGTACAACTGCACAACATTGTTGAGACTGCTAAGCTGCCCGACACTTGTTTTTTGCTCATTTCTGGGTAGCCCTGTTCCAAAAATGATTCATCTACCCATAGCAATGCCCAAATTTACCACTATGGGTGCCTAGCTTCCATAAAGAAGCTTTCAAATGGTAAGACAGACTGCAATCATACAATCTACAGCATCTTATCATGGCCTTTCTTTACCCAATCAAATATTAAAGCCAGGAGTAACCCTTGATACAGGATGTATGTATGTATGTATATATATATATATATATATATAAAAAAGCAAAATTAAACTGAAATATCGAAGGAGCTGGGTGGAAAACTGATGAACGCACACAGTGGGAGATTTACTAAAACTGGAGCACTCAGAATCTGGTGCAGCAGTGCATGGTAACCAATCAGCTTCTAACTTCAGTTTGTTCAATTAGGCTTTAACAATAAAACCTTGAAGCTGATTGGTTTTTTTATGCATAGCTGCACCAGATTTTGTACTCTCCAGTTTTATTAAATCCCCCACAGCGATAGTATCCAATCAGATGCAGTCACTGTTATGGCATTCAGACTCAAACAGCTGCCGCTGCCAGAAAACCGCAGCCTGAAGGGGAGATTTCTCCATCTATGCTGTTTAGCATAGATGCAGGGCTGACTGAGAAAAATCTAGCTGTGCATGTCTAGCCTTATTTACACAGCTGGCATAGAACTGGCATCTAATCCATTTGTTCAAGCCATGCAGGTGCTTGCTGAATTAAATTAAAATATTTTATTACATTAGTGTATGAAACTGACTGTATTAATAGTTATGGTTAAAAGTCAAACTTTTCACATGGGAATAAAGCAATAAAAACACTTGAGATGTAAGTGCAAACAGTTACTGCATTTACCAACTGGGGGAAAAAAAAAAAAAAAAAAAAAAAAAAACAAAAGCCAGAAAAAACTGCCTTCACATGCACCCACAAAAAAGTGGAAGGGCCTCCAGCAGGACTCTAAAGGGATAGCATAGTGACCTGCCCCTATTAAGTAGAATTATTTTCTCATAGCCACCGAGTAAAACTTTCAGAGAAGATCCTAAGGCTGGCCATACATTATACAAATTTCTTGAAATTTTTGGTTTAGATTTACCAAAAACTATATAATATGAGGTCAAACCTAACAACATTTTCAATTGTATCCAATTAGGCATACCCTTGCACTACATAGTTGAAGGTAAATCTAAAGAAAATTGGGCAGAAAATTGTATAGTGTGTGGCCAGCCTTATTAGGTAGATAGGGGGAATCTCCACTTGCTAGAGCCCAACACAAAAACAAGCACGTTAGGATGAAACTGGAAAAAAACAAACAAAAAAAGCAAAACATAAAACTTACATGGATGAGAATGCGACAAATCAAACTTAAACAGGATCACCAACATTAACATGCAAGTCCAAAGACAAATCAAATATATGTACTTGCTCTGTTATACTGTATCCTATGAGTACTTTACTGGCAACATGTTGAATTGTAAATAAATGCTACACACAATATATCCAACTGGGCAATATAAGAGTAATCCCTCATGCACATGGCCAACCTAAATTGCAGGTGTATTTCTGCATTTGGAAAACAGACACCTACAGTAATGAATAACTGTAGGTAGGTATACACCATATTTGGATAAAGCTGAACACAGGGATAAACCTCTGAACGCTTGTTAGCCATGTTCAGGGGTGTATGCCAGTGTGTGAGGTTATACAAGTACTGCATTCACCCATGTACATCTACCATACAGCCATTCATTACTATGGGTGAAAAAACAAAATCAATACGTATCTAAGTGCGCCACCCACCTCCTACAAATATCATATAACCAAGAGTTGCTGCAACCACTGTAAGTGATCCCACACCCCCAAAAAAGAAAATTGAGTAATAAAGAGTGTTGCGCTACTCAATATTATAACCTTAATACATAAATATGTGAATAATAACACAATTCATATAATTCTCCGTGCATGTATAAATCATATAAATGAATACAGTCCCAATGATAAATCAAAGTCCATATCCACATATTGTGACCATGCTCCAATTATCTTCAACAATGGATGTAAAGTTCAGTGGTCATGAAATAACTGAACTCATCACCAACAGGTCCCACCACCATACGTAAGGATGGCTGCTCACCTGAGAACCAGGACCTATATACTGGAATAGTCAGTCAGGTCTCATGCGCTTGGTAAATTCCCTATTAGGAGTATTATATGAATTAAGTGTTGTTATTCACATATTTATGTATTAAGGTTATAATACTGAGTAGCGGAACACTCTCAATCATTACTATGGGTGGCTGTACTCAGCAGTGTCTCCTGGGTGTTGAAATATGCCCATAAATCACGTTGCATGGCCTCATCTGCCCCTGTGCATAATGCTCAAGTAAGGCTGCAATTCAGAAATACACATTCTAGCAAACCACTGTCAAAGATTTAAAAATAGTCCAACCAGTTACTATGTGGCCAGGCTATGATCTTTCAAATATTTACATTATCTTAACATGCAATAGCATGCTTTAAGATAAGCCCTCGACTACATATATAGATACAGGTACTGTGGAGAAATTCATCCTTGTTTTAAAGAAAGTATATTCACATTCAAGTGGTTCTCTCAAAAGCTCGGCTCACCCTGCTCATCAACTATTGGTAACAGTATGTCATAAACATAAAATGAGCAGGGGTTTGTAAACCGGATGCTGCCCTGCTACTTCAGAGATCTTCTCACTTGATCGGACCATCTCTTTGAACTTCATCACTATCTGTGCCCCAGTACAAGTGGGCTAAAACCATATAAATATGAAAGAGTAACTCAATTTCTTCTATATAAGACATATTATTAACTCTATAAGGATTGATTCACATCAGTGGGCATACATTATGCTCTGTAAAACACACCCACTGTTGTGCATTGAGTAGGGGCAGTGCAATGCGTTCTTACAACACTTCCCATGGGTCAGTTCTTTCTTTTAATTTACTGAAAGATCTCTTATGTGATATTTAAAAGGAAACAGTTTGTGCCATACTTAACAAAAAAAGGGGGACAGTACAGTTACAGTACAAGTGGGTGCTTAATGAAACTTCATTTACCTTTATACACTGCATTATATTGTGATGGGGGGTAGTGCATCACAACATGCTGCTCTGCATAAAAATGCACCCTGTCCTACTTTATTAGCGCAAAAAAACAAACTGCACTGCTGTGAACTGAAGCACTTGGAGATAAGGGAAATTGCCCAACACATGTGAATGGGCCTAAAGGATTTGCAAAAATTAATATCCTTTTAAGGTCTTTTGGAATACATAAACAGATACTGAGGCATCAGATGGGAAAGGTCTGACTTGGATTACACTAAGCTTACATGACCTTGCATTCTTTGTTAACAGCATGTTGGAATAATGTGTGTAGCAGGGTATATTTCAATTTACTGTTCTAGGTCCAGATTGGAAATGTGTGATTAGATGTTTGTAAGTACTGTAAAATCTTTTTCTTTGAGTGAATTAAGGGACATAACAAATCTAAAACAGCTGGGTTATATTGATGCCTCGAGGAGGTTGGTGATCCTAGGTGCTACTACTACTACAAACTTTTTACTAATGGAGAACAGAGAGGAAAGGACTGAAGAAGACTTCCTCAGAAAACTGAAGCTCAGCTGTTGGAGGACCTATCAACTGGCAAGCAGGCCCTGCAAAGGCCTTCAGACTTATGCTATACCTCTGGAAGAAATCTGAAGCACTATCCCATTAAGTCCTGTCCACTTAACATCTAGGTGAATACAAGACCTTCCAGCGAGATACTTACCTGCAAGCAGGAAAAGAGGGGCATTCAAGTGTTGAATTCTCATTCTTCTATATAAAGATCATCAGTTGGAGAGATCGTTAAGGCCATATTACCAATAAAAAGTGTATTACTGTCCAGCTTTACAGTGGTAAAGGTTCAGCAGAACCTTGGCTATGGTCCAGTGAAGGTCAGATAAACACCACTGACCCTCATCTGTCTGGATTCACCTCCCCAGGAAACTGTCCCTGACCTTTCCACAATGGGGATGCCAGGAAAAAAGGTACTAGAATAGCATAAGTACCAGCACTGTGAAGTGTCCAGAGCTGTTGAAAGACACTGAAGGGTCAGGTCCTTACCAAGAAAGGGAGCAGTGGGGTCTGATCCTTGTTGATAGGTCAAAAGTTCCCCCTCAAGAGATGCATAGGGCTGAGGAGTATCAAGTACTTCATAGTAGGTGAAACCATATTTTAAGAGAAAATTATCCTGGGTAGGGAGAATTCTGAGTAGTACAACATTCCCAAGGATAGGTTCCTTAACTTTAGGAATCAGAGCTTCCAGGGTACAGTGAGGTCAGACCAAACTCTGAAGATGCATAATAAGGTGCAGTAAAACCAGAAGGGTGAAGAAAACCTGCAGCCGAAGAAGACGCCCAATTAAAGCGTATAGGCTACAAGGAGTGTCCAAGGTACCTAAATGCTGTTTTTGCATCAGGAAAAGCATTTGGGATGGTGCGTCCTCCAGGTACTGTAAATGGCAGAAAAAACACTAAAAAGGTGACATTAACGTTCGGTTTACTCTTAACGCCTTGACTCTTATAGCGTTGAAATAGAAAGGGTGCTCAGCAGTACCACCTGTTAGCGCATGGAGCTTAAGCGCAACTAGTCTTACTAAGTAAGCCTACAGAGATAGGGTTACTCTGGAGGCTGTATCATGGTTCCTGACCTGGAAAGCACTCTATAAGCTGATGAAGTACACAGAGGTCTGGAAAGCCATATAATGCAGAGCCCTGTGCCGGAAAGCCACATCCAGGATACCGGACAATCTTCCAGCCCAGTGGGGTTCAGGTACCACTTCCGAAGCTGTTGCAGAGCATACATTAATCCTGATAGCTGCTATATAGAGACTAGCTAAAACAGTGAAGTTGAAATCTTGAATGAGGTCACTGAAGGAAAAAAAATATTAAAAGATGTATCAAGCATCTTAACCTAGGTTGAATAAAAACAATTACAACTCAAAAAAGCTAGCAAAATATAGCTAGACTTTTTCAGAAGAGCCAAGAAAAAAAAGATGTCAAATCATCTAGGACCCCAGCAACAAAATGAGCATGGGTAGGGCTGGCTTAACATTTTGCCAGTGTCTGCAACTTCTATAGGCAGCAATATAAACCGACTCTTCAGAATTCCTGAATTTCAGTGTTCTTCAATAGACAATCAAGAAAATCGGTTTATTTAACCTTATTAAAGTGTTGCTCAATTGTAGTCATAGTTACCGTATATACTTGAGTATAAGCCGACCCAAATATAAGCCGAGGTACCTAATTTTACCACAAAAAACTGGGAAAAACTATTGACTCAAGTATAAGCCGAGGGGGGAGGAATAGTGCCCCATCGTTGGTGTCAGTGGGGGGAGGAATAGTGCCCCATCGTTGGTGTCAGTGGGGGGAGGAATAGTGCCCCATCGTTGGTGTCAGTGGGGGGAGGAATAGTGCCCCATCGTTGGTGTCAGTGGGGGGAGGAATAGTGCCCCATCGTTGGTGTCAGTGGGGGGAGGAATAGTGCCCCATCGTTGGTGTCAGTGGGGGGAGGAATAGTGCCCCATCGTTGGTGTCAGTGGGGGGAGGAATAGTGCCCCATCGTTGGTATTAGTGACACCAATTGGGCACTATTCCTCCCACTGACACCAATGATACTTACCTTGCTGACCCCTGCTCCAGCCTGGGCTCGCTCGCTCCCTCCCTCTCCCATGGTACACACTTACCGGTCAGATGTCTTCCTTCTCCGGCCGCTCTCCTCCTCTTCACTCGCTCGATCTTCGCGGTGCCGCTCAGCTCCTCCTCTCCAAGCTCCACCTCCTCGCCGGTGATTGGGCGCCTGTGTGCCTCTCCTGAGCTACAGTTCTGGCGGCCAATCACCGGCGAGGATTAATCCCGGGGGTGTGTCCAGATGACAGGGACGGCATGTCATCTGCAGACGTTGACTCGAGTATAACCCGAGGGGGCCGTTTTTCAGCACAAAAATGTGCTGAAAAACTCGGCTTATACTCGAGTATATACGGTAAGTAATTTTATTGAAACGTGGCTTCTTATTAAAAATATCATGCTGGATATCTATGCCGATATGGACTGGGTAATGTGTTAGGAATGTAAGGATGCCCCATTGTTTGATGGAAATGAAAAATTATCAACCTGCATACTCTCGCCACATGAGACCGGGCATTGTCGTGCAACCAGGAGGAATCTAGAACCCACTGCACCAGTGTAGGGTCTGACAATGGGTACAAGGATTTCATCCCGATACCTACTGGCAGTAAGGGTGCCATTGTCTAACCTGTAGAGGTCTGTCCATCCCTCCATAAATATGTCTCCCCAGACCATCACTGACCCACCACCAAAATGGTCATGCTGAATGATGTTACAGGCAGCATAACGTTCTCCACAGCTTCTCCAGACCCTTTCATCTGTAAAAAACAAAAGAGCGCCAGTGCCAGACCTGCCAATTCTGGTGTTCAATGGCAAATGCCAATCGAGCTGTATGGTGCCGGGCAGTGAGCACAGGGCCCACTTGAGGATGTTGGGCCCTCAGGCCACCCTCATGAAATCGGTTTCTGATTGTTTGGTCATTCACACCAGTGGCCTGTTGAAGGTCATTTTGTACGGCTCTGGCAGTGCTCATCCTATTCCTCCTTGCATAAAGGAGCAGATACCAGTCCTGCTGACAGGACCTTCTAAGGCCTGTCCAGCTCTCCTAGAGTAACTGCCTGCCTCCTGGAATCTCCTCCATGCTCTTGAGACTGTGCTGGGAGACACAGCAAACCTTCTGGCAATGGCATGTATTGATGTGCTATCCTGGAGGAGTTGGACTGCCTGTGCAACCTCTGTAGGGTCCAGGTATCGCCTCATGCTACCAGTAGTGACACTGACCCTAGCCAAATGCAAAACTAGTGAAAAACAGGCAGAAAAAGTAGGGAAAAAAAGGTCAGTGGCTCCACCTGTAAAACCATTCCTGTTTTGGGGGTCGTCTCATTGTTGCCCATCTAGCGCACCTGTTAATTTCATTAACACATAAGCAGCTGAAACTGAATAAAAACCCCCTCTACTACTTAACTGACCAGATCAATATTCCAGGAGTTTGACTTGATGCTATACTCTGAATAAAAAGTGATCCTTTAATTTTTTTTAGATATATACATACACACATTGAACAGCCCTAACATTATGACCACCCGCCAAATATTGAGTAGCCCCCCCTTTTGCCACCAAAACAGCCCTGATCTGTCAAGGCATGGACTCAACTAGACCTTTGAAAATATGTTGTATCTGGCACCAAGCCATTGGTAGCAGATCCCTTATGCCTCCTTCGGCTTGCTCTCTTTCCATAGTGCATTCTGGTGCCCTCTCTTGCTCAGGTAAGCCATGCACATGTTCCTGGCAACCCCCATGATGTATGGTCCACTTCTGATGCTCACGTGTCCATTGTTGGCTTTTGACTGTAGGCAAGGGTCAGCATGCTCACCCTGACCAGTCTGCAGTTACGCACCACCATACACAACAAACTGCAATGCACTGTGTGTTCTGACACCTATCGGAACCAGCATGAACTTTTTCAGTAATTTGAGCTACAGTAGCTCTTCAGGTGGATTGCACTACATAGGCCAGCCTTTACCCCCCAAGTACATCAATGAGCCTTGGTCACCCATTACCCTGTTGCCGAATCTCTGCTTTTCCTTCCTTTGGCCACTTTTAATAGGTCCTGACAACAGCACACTGGGAACATCCTACAAAAGCTGCAGTTTTGAAGATGCTCTGACCTAGTCGTCTATCCATTAAGATTCAGTCCTTGTCAAAGTTGTTCAAATCCTTATGCTTGCCTATTTTTTCTGCTTTCAGCACATTAACTTCAGGGGCAACATGTTCACTTGCTGTGTAATATATCCCACCCACTTTCAAATGCCATTGTAATAAGATAAGATGCACACACATATACATACATTAAATACATTCACATAAACGTAAAAAAGCAAGTTTCAAGTGCACTCTAATGATTAAAATAAGTCCAGAAATACTTTGTGCATTACCTGTGTAGGTCAAGTAGATCACAGTTAAGAACACAATTCCAGCAGCTAGAGACACTCCCAGGAAGAAGAGTGTCTGGAACTCTTGCTTTGTCAGCTTGTCTCTTAGGTACTGGAGGAAAGCATATGCCTGCAGCAGAGCAAATACTCCTGTAATGAGGGCAGGAAAAGAAAAAAAGTTATTGACCAGCAGAGCATTTCCAAATTCAAAAGTGTGGCAACCCTTAGCATTTGGTACTGCTTTACAATAAGGCTCCATGCACACTGGGCATTTTAATAACGCTGGTAGTGTTAGCTGTGTACAGTCGCGTTAAAAAATGTGAGGCTTTCCAGCCTTTGTTTATTAACGTTTGTACACGTTTAGCTGCTTTTTTAAAAAAAAAATTTAAACACAAAAAAAAAAAATATAATTCTTGCTAAAAAACAAAAAAAAAAAAAAACCCAAATCAAAACAAAAACAAAAAAACACACCCAAAAATGCCATCCACTAGTCCTGGGTTTTTCTTTCCAGCCAAAAAAACCTGAATAAAGCCTGTGTGCGCAGGGACACAAAGGATAACACGCTAGAAAAACAACCCCGCCAAAAACAGCAGCTGTAAAACCATCCAGTGTGCATGAGGACTAAGGCAGTATAAATAATAATTACAGTAAGACTTTGTAAACACATGGAGCTGCACCAGAATTACACAGCTATATATATTTGATGAGCCATGTGCTATGGCACTGAATGGGCAGAGTAAGCATCCTCCCAAACAATCAACACAGCCACTGAGACAACATACAGGTTCCAGTTACATGTAGGCATTAGCATATAGCTCTTCAAAAAATGGTAGAGTGTGAGTAAAGTAGTAAGTGTTACATTGTGACGCTGCATGTTCTCAAGGTTGCCCCACAGGCACAATACTTGCCTGAGACATACCACCATTTTTGTGTGGCGCTGGACATTTTAATGAAAAGGTTAGTGTTAGGAGGAAGGGGGAGGCAGCTTTATTAAGAATAATTTAACCTTTACTATCTATCCTGCGTAGCCTGTATTGAATAAAAAAACAAAATAAACAAAGTGTAGATACATTTTTCAAAGCCTGTCCAGTCACGTGATCCACCTGCCTTGCATAGGGGAGCTCTAACTAACGGATGTGAATTCCAGGAGATGTGACAAAGCCCACTGACTCCCACTGTCGGTGCACCCTCCTCCCCTGCAGCAGCCGCGCTGACACAGGGGAGCCAGAGCTGATGGATCACATGACTGGAATGGACAGGATTGAAAAAAAAAAAACAACAACAAAAGTATTTACACTGCAGGGAAGAAGGGTAAAAAATAAAAAGGGGCTAACCTTTATTATACAATAGTGGAAAATATGCTAATCTGTGGATCTTGCCATTAGAATTTCACTTCCTCTTACTAACAGTTTTGGGACTTTTCTCCATGGCCATGGATGCAAGCTAATTATTTTGCTCCTAATGACCAGCAATGTACAGGGCACTGTTACATACCCCAACCACTGCACACTGGGCTGTATCTTACATACTCTTGATCTATATACACAGGTTTATGCTGTATATTGTGAACCAAACAATAAGTGTGTGTGTCGCTCAGGCTTGGAGTACTGGTCCTATGTCCACCGCTATGAATACCGGCTGGGGAAGGAGCTCATCTCAGCTCCAAATATCAGTCTAAAATGAAATGTGTATTTTGAGCCGCACCTCAAAACAAACCCATTGTGATGTAGTATGTGGTAACCTCAGCCCCAACATAGTTCGCTCCACCCCTCGGAGATGAATCATAGGCATGCCCATCCCCATTAAGCACCTAGAAGTGGAGCGAAACATGTTGGGGGTATGGCCTGGCTGGAGCCCATGCTAAGGTTGCCACATACTACATTACAGCGGGTTTGTTCTGAGGTGCGGCTTAAGAGACACTCATTTCATGTTACGCTTCACGTTACATATGCCATACCCAGGCTGTATAGGTCATTAGATACAGTTCAGTGTGCCTCTTTCGGGGGGGGGGGGGGGGGGGGGGGGGGGGGGGGGGGGGGGGGGGGGGGGGGGGGGGGGGGGGGGGGGGGGGGGGGGGGGGGGGGGTAAAAATGTATGGAAATGGGTTGCCAATAGTCATGCAAGGGAAAAAAGGTTGCGCACCACCGCCGTAAGGCAATTATATATTTCCTGAATCAACAATATCTAGGGTGATTACTTATAGTTCCCTGAGGGAATATTTTCTACTTTTTCACAGCTCTTATTGTGAAGGAGCCAATAAGTATGCAGAGGTTACACAATTTTTTTCCTCCAATAGCAACAAGTGCCCCACCACCCCATTCCTCTGTTACAAAATTATTGTCATTAATTATTAGGCTGTTTCAAATTCACTATATAGACCATTTACATGTATTTATACATTGTGATCATATCCCCCTTAATGTCTCTACTGAGAATAAATTAATTTTTAGTATTTATTCAAAGCCAAGGACCTCCACAACTATCATATCTTTTTTGTGAACAGAACTTAACTGCATATTCCAGATGAGGTATTACTAATGATTTGCACAGGGGTAAAATGATGTGTCCCTCTATGGAATCTATGCCTCTTAATACAAGAAAGTGTTTTGTGTACAATAGAACCTGCAGCTTGACATTGCATGGTATTAAATTTATGATTTACCAGAACACCCAGATCCTTCTTCACTATTGACTTCCTCAGTCGTACACCTCATAGAATGTATAGTGCATGTATGTTTTAACTCCCAGAGTGGATAAACCTTGCTTGCTATATAGCTCCCCAAACAGTGCATTGAGGTCGTCTTGCAACTTCGAGACATGCTGTGAGGACATTACTTCATTGCACAGCTTGGTGTTAATCGGCAAATGCTGAAATGGTACTTTTAATCCCAGACCCTATATCATTTATAAAGGTTAAAAAGTAAGAGTCCAACCAGACCTTAGGTACACCACTAACATCCTTAGGCTATTCAGAGTATGAATCATCACTACAGTTTAATTTTGCATCTTTACTGCGTTGTTGAAACATTCAGGAGTTCTTTATACTAAAATGAATGATCATAGGTTTCCTTGACATCTACTGAAGTTATGAAGGTCCAGCAGCTAAAGTCTAGTAGTAACTTTTAAGCATTATTACAAATGGAATGTGAAAAAAAAAAGGGAAAGGAAAAAAGGAAAAAAAAAAAAAAAAAAAAAAAAAAAAGATAGAAATATAAATCTTACCCGCTGCTGCCATGTGCTCGCTAGTCCGAATGGGCTGAAATCCAACAAAAGGAATTTGCATGGATAGAATTAAACCCACAATGTAGAAAGTGCTGTATGCTACAGTGAAAAAAAAGAAAGAAAGAAAGAAATATGTAAATTAGATATATAACAGAAAAATGTAAAAACTCACAGATTATGTCCTGGAGGGAGAGGCAGACTTCTATGTTCAAGAGAAATTGCCACACGAAACTCCGCCATACATCTCCCTGTATCATCCACAGGAGCGGATCTAAGTGCCCACTTGTCACAGTTCAATAAATGATATGTTTCTCAGAAAGATTTCAAGGGCACTCGAAGAATAGGATTCTCTTTATTGAGGCAAAGTAGCAAGGGCTAAAAACATTTAAAGCCCAACTCTGGGAAATCTGAAAATTCTCCCTTGCAATATAGCTGCAACTGCACTGTAAGGATTAACCACTCATTTGGGACTAGGGGAGAGTAAAAGTACTGTTACTCAAGCGATCCTCTGCTCCACAAGCAGAAAGTGCTCCCCCACACTCCCAGATGTGAAAAGTCCCTTGTTGTACTCACATATAATGCAAAGCTATGGACCCTGCGTCAGTCTTGATGACATCAGTGCCTTAGTCCACTGGAGATTGAGGAGGGGGGGGGGTTATTTCAGGCGCAGCCTGCTGCAATGACCCTATCTTGTGCAATACACATGCATTCTCCTGGCGTACATGAGGACCCTTTAAATTAGATATATGCAGCTTGCAAGCTAAACTTCAGTACAGTGAACAATCATTTCATATTTGTGCCGACTTGTATTAACCATCTTCATAATGTGCATTCACTACACATGTAACTAAGCAAGCGCTCGGTTTGTCCTAGACCCAGACACCTCAATTCAGCAATCTGGTATGTGACCATAGCAGTATCACACAAATGACATATTAAAAATGGGCTGGCTGACCTATTCCTTTTTAAATCACACAATTACAACAGATGTCTTGATTGAAAACACCACGCAATGCTTTAAAAACTCATGGAATGAGAAAGTTAATTTAGCCCTGCAATGGAAAAACAACATGTATCCAGAAGTCATTCTTCCTTTAGGGAGGCTTATTTCCGCTTCACATTTCTTTTAGTCACAGCTTTTCTGGGGAATTTTGGTTTAGAGGGCAAGGTTTAAAAAAAAAAAAAAAAAAAAAATCAATTCAGGTGTTTGATTATTTGGAAGGGTAGAAGTAGTTTGGTACAGGTAAGCAGCTCAGACACTTTTGTTGAACATGTTTGTTTCTTGGTGTCTGCAGTATTCAGCCACCAAATAAGTAACAGGCTCATAAAAAAAAAAAGTTTTAAGGTGAGGAAAGTCCTTATATGCATATTTGTTCCATGTCAGTGGCACAAAAGCACCAAACTGCCTTAAAAAGAGCAGTTGGACTGAAGGTTTTTTGGTCATACTTTTCTTCTAGGTCACAGGAGTGCACTTACTTTTGTACTCATGTGACTCAGGATCAGCTGACAGTGGGCTAAAGCCAGCTGACATCACAGAGCTGCTCCAGCCTTTGGAAGGATCCCAACCGTATTGTCAGTATCTTCCCAGCTGTCTGACTGAAAGCTGGCTATGGCTCTCAGCGTGATCGGCAGCAGCTTCTGCCACCTCTCCAGCACGGCACTCCAGTAAGTGTTGGAGGGGCTGAGAGTGGTAACTGACAATCACAGCCCTCTGCTCAGAGCTGATTGGGAACTGAGTAATCAGCGGTCATGCGATTGCTCGGTTCTCGGGTTTACAGCTGGCAGGGGACAGCTGCAGCATCACACCGAGGCTGCAGCATAGAGGCGAGGATGTACAGTATGTTTGTTCATTTCTTTTTACACACCAAAAAACTACTCCTTTGATGTTTCTCTGATGACAGTTCCAAGTATTTGTCATTAGAACAAAACATGCAAGCTGGATTCCTTGTGTTCCAAACATAAACAGCATACACCGTAAAACAGACTGGGGGGCAGGTGTGCCCATATCATTCAGTTTTTTACCTTTCACAGTAAACTGCAGCACATAGGATAAGAACTAGCAGTCTCCACCAATGTAACAGCCTCTTCCCTATGGCACACTGATGTCATCAAGTACAATGCAGGGCCACTAGACCTGCGCAGTATGTGAGGATGTGGAAGGACTGCCCACAAGCTGGGGCATCAAGGAGAAATGTTGAGCATGGGCTGCTGGGAGATGAGGGATGACATAAAAGTCCTTTTTCGTGGTACCCTAAGCATTTAACCTATGCATTGTGTCCGAACCCCCACAGGGTAGGTTTTTGTTTTCCTCGGAGTTCAGCTTTAGGCACTCTCTAGGGACATGTTCATTATCCAAAACACAGCCTCCTTATACCCTAATATATTCATGGATATCCTCTGATCATTAATGCTCCATGTCATACTAGCAATGAGCTTTACAATAACTAGAAAATACATCTTAGAGAGACAACTAGCATTATATATGGCAAACATGTTGTAAAACAAAGTTAAAAGAAAACATTGCATGCCACTATGACCGATTCAGGGCTTCATTTAATTTAAGCCACTTTGAAAGAAAAAAAAAAAAAAATGCCAAGGCAAGAAAAACATGGTGCATATTTGATCTCACTTCCTTCAGTTTTGCTGCTGAACAATTGTGCCTAATGTCATGGAGAGAAAATTTCTGAACTGAATAAATGCTTTCATTTACACTGCAGATGTAACTCATTGGCACAAGAGGTTTCACTTAGAACAAACTAACTTATGTCATATCAACCTATTAAGGAAAGCTGAATTGTAAATAATTTCGTGTAAAGTAGTTTTATATAATAACTGTTAGACTGCCATCCTGTGGAAACAGTGGAGTATACAACATTCATCAGGGAAATGGCTTGTAGAGAGGTAAACATACACATTAACCGGAATCACAAAACACAAAAAGCTGTATGAAAGAATGGAAAAAAAGACAAAAAAAAAAAAAAAAAAAAGAAAGAAAAAAATCTTTCTCCCAACGCAGCAACCACCCTGCAGACGGATACCTTATTATGTGTAACAAATGCATACAGGTTTTCACACAATAAATTGTATGGCTGTGTGTGGAAACACATAGGCTGTCACATAGAACATCTCCGTTCTTTCTAAGCTACAGATACAGAAGCTGTAGAACAGGTTCTGACTTTAGTATGACCTTCCCGATCTGCACACTTGTGCCAGGGCACCGACTCAAAGTATTGAAGCCAGCACCAGTTCAGCAACTAGTGTTTCTTAGTGAATCTTAGAGCTCATTCACATAGGATGAACAGGCTTTGCAGCCGCATCTGTGGACCCAACCATGTGTACCTGTCAAACTGTACAAGTGAGTCCATACAGCTGATAGCCAACTGGCTCCCATTCACTTTCTATGGGTGAAAAACTAAATAAAATGGCTCTGACCGCTGCATGGGGACTGAAAAGTGGGATTGTGATAGTACGGTGGGCACTCTGACACTGATACTTTGTGGGAACTGTGACATGGACATCACCCATAACACAAATACAGTGATCAGTGCTAGTAATATAAACTGACACTCTACTAATGACATTGGCTGGGAAGCAGTTAACATTTAGGGGCAAAGGGGTTAACTGTGTGCCTACAAGTGTAAATGTGTTTACTGTGTGCTGTTTTCACTAAGCAATGTGCCAGTTTTTATTCCCTGCTTTGTAGGGAGACAAAAAAAAGGCACATACCGCGTCAGCAGAGAGCTCTATGTTGTTTATCAACACAGAGCTCTCTCCTGTCATTTGCTCTGCTGATCAGTGGATCCCAGCCATAATTCATTGGCCGGGACCCGGTGATTGGTACATGCTGGAGCAAATGACAGCACAGCCAGGGTGGTGTGTGCCCCGTACTCAGAAGTCACACATAAATGGATGTCATCAGTTTACGCCTGTTTATACCTTTGTTCACTATGATTTTTCCTTAAAAAAAAAAAATGGACATGAGAAAAACTAGATTGTAAGCTCCACGACCAGGGCAGTCCTATTCCTTCTGTACTGAAATGTATAGTAATTGTACTGTCTCCCTTATATTGTAAAGCGCTGTGCAAACTGTTGGTGCTATATAAATCCTGTATAATAATAATGAATAGTGATGTAAACTGGACTGAAAGCAGTCATATAAACAACTATATGAAGGGATGTGGGTTTTGGGTTATTTTTTTTTTTGTGATGCAAAAGATAGTTGTGTGTAAAGGACCCTATCTGATGCCCTGACACTTCTAGGTCTGGGTCTGAGGACTGCAGTGAAATGAGGGAAATGTCTACAGCTCCAGAACTTACACCTTTAAAAATGAGGCTTCAGCAGCAGCAAAAAATTACTACCCTGTCAGGTTCTTCTAAATAAAAGGCACCCAGAGATTCTGAAAATAGCTTCAGATACTTTCAGAGCACACCGAGAGCCCAGAAACCTGAGAAGCTCTATAACGCATGCACGGACTCAGAAGTTTCAGAAGCTTTATAAATTGGATCATTTTTGATAAATATTTTATGGTACACCTGTGAATTAAAGTTGACTTTTAGGTCTTTATCTCTAGCATTTATTGTATCTTCCCTGTGAGAACACCTAAAAAAAAAAGTCCTAAATAAGTATTCTTGTAATACATCCATGGTTTTTTTTTCCCCGCAAAGAACACAATATGCTGCAGTCCAGCACAAGAACATAACAGAAATGTAGTTTGCTATACATTTTGTTTTGTTTCCTAAAAGCATAAAATTCTAAGAACAGTTGTGCAGTACAGGAATTAAACTTTTACAATAAGGTGCTAAAGAATTATATTTATCCGGTCTCCACCAGCAGCTGCTATTGAATATGGCTACTTAAGATCACTATGGTAACATTTCTTAGAGTACAGAAAGAGAATATATATTTTTTTGTTATAATAATAGTGAAGCATTCTATCACAAAACATGAGATGTGGCAATTCTAGCCTATTAAAATAGGAAAACCCAAAACAATAAGGCCCCATTCACACCTAAGCATAGTGTTGACACACGTCAACCCAAGGGCTGCCCATTCAACCTGCACTTCGGGTTCCATTAACAATTAATGGCACTGCAAGTGC